AGGCATGGTTTTCAGAGGTAAGGGGGATGATAATAGGAAAAACGAGTGAGAAAAAAGAAATGCAGATGCTGAGGAATGTAAAAAGATATAATCCTGAGTAGTGGGAGTAAGACAAGTAGACTTACTGGAGAGGACAAGTGAGGAGATCTGAGGGCATGAGAGGATCAGGGATGAAAGCTGCTCTGTGTTGGTGGAGTGGTAATAGAGAGCAAGGGAAAAAGATGTTTGAATTCCTCTATCTCATTGCTTGGGAACTGGACAGGACCTAGACTATTTCTGAGTATTAAAAATATCTCCATGATGCTTATTCTTTGCATTAAAGTCAAAAATGAAATCCTGTGTGTGAGTGCCCTAGTGGGAGGACCAGGTTAGAGTGAACCAGGAACACAGTAAATCCCAGGACAAAGAGCACACCACCCTCCTCAGGATACTTCTCCCACACCAGGCCCACAGGTCTCTGTTCAGTTCATATATGAAGGGCATTGAAAACACAGCCCAAAAAGAACTAGGGACTACTCCAAGATGTATAGGAGGTACAGAATCCAAGAAGCTTGGGCCCCTAGGTCTTCACAGAGCATTTGGTTGCCTTCATGGTATTCTTTTGAAGTTTTGAAAAAGCTCCAAGTTTCACCTGCCCCACCACCTATCCCCAGCCATCCTTTGCTTATTCCTTAAGTTAGAAATTCCCATTTAAAGTCTCATCTTTTTAATCATTGGTCAAATGCTGCTGGTATCATGGTACAAGCAAAAGAAGCAGACCTATCTATGATTTGATCCCAGATACAAATTCTCATTAAAATGTACCCAGGAGACTGAGATGTAGTTCTGTTGTGTACATAGCATGCAGGAGGCTCTGGGTTCAGTTCCTAGCACCAAAAAATAAAATAAAATGCATTCAAAAATACCAAATAAAATATAAATTCACACTTAGACACAAAGCAAAACTGTAGAATATTAGGGATAAAGACGACACAAACTCATAGCAGCATTTTCTGAATAACAAAAATTGGAAAAAATTTAAATGTCCATCAAACAAAAAATTGCTATAAAATGTGCAGTGAAATGCTGTAGTCGATGTGAATGAAAATGAGTGTCGACACAGATAAACCTCAAAAACATGTCTATTACAAGTGGTAGCATAATTTGCCAGTGTTATACAATTTGTTTAAAGTTTAAGATCACCAAAGACAATACCCCATGTTGCTTGTATTGTGTACATGCATAATGAAGACCTGAAAACCAGCACAGAAAAAACATACACATGGTTATCATCCTTATTACCTCTTTAATAATGGCCACACGTAGAAGCATTCATTCCCCCAAACCCAGGAATATCTAGATCTAAAAGTAGTCAATCTCTCACCAGCACTTCAAGACCACCACACACATGCACACACCTTCTGTTAAATTTTTCTATTTCCTTGAGGAATGTGTATTTGGGGCATACATAGCATTCCTCCCCTGTAACTCTCCCTTGTTCTTGAGAATACTGGAACTTGTTTCATAAATTGTCTCTTCATTCCAAGATCTACTATTACCCTGAGTGACTCAAACATCCATATTCGGGGCTGGGGATGTGGCTCAAGCGGTAGGGTGCTCGCCTGGCATGCTTGCGGCCTGGGTTCAATCTTCAGCACCACATACAAACAAAGATGTTGTGTCTGCCGAAAACTAAAAAATAAATATTAAAATTCTCTCCCCACCCCTCTCTCTCTCTCTTTAAAAAAAATCCATATTCAATCCAAGATCTAGCCTCCTGAACCCAATAAGCATCTCTTCTGCTCCTCTTCAGTTGCCCACTCCCCTGATGCCATCCTGGATTATATAATTCAAAGTCTTAAACCATTTTCTTGCCTACTATCTCTCAGTCACACTCACCTATAAAAAAATCTAATCCTGAATTAGTACTCATAGGCACCCTTAGAGTAAAGGCCAAACTTCTTAATTTGACTTGACCCTGCATGCCTCTGCAGACATATTTCTTGACAATCTCAGGTTCTATGCTTTCAGCCATATGTTTACCTTTTGTTTCCTTGAATGCAACCAACTATTGGTCCTTTTTACATGTTTGGGGTTTTTGTTGGGCTTTTTTGTTGATGTTGGTTTGTTTGCTCTACCTGTAACAATTTCGCATCAGCTATCCCTAGATCTTGCATGAAAAGTGGGCAATAAATATTTGATGAACTAATTTAATCAGTGAAAGAAGCATCAGTAGATGCATGCTAGACCAATTAGTTATTCTAAATATTATAAACAGCATATGCCAGGAGTCTGTCCTTCACATCTCCAAGTCAACATCACTCTGTGCCCTTTCACATGTACAGACTTGCTAGGTAATTCAAGGTGATCTAAAAAGGCTTCTGTCTCAGATAACCACTATTACCACTATTACATCTGTGCACCTTCTCAGAAAGTACTGATCTACTGAAAACTATCCCTTCATGATGTCTATTTATTCAACTTAAACCAAGACCTCATGCTCTCTAATAATACTAACGAACTTTTGATGATCACTTTCATGTCTCATCTCCTCAGAACCTCTCAAGAACCTGTGATGTCAATATTATTACACTATTTTATGGTTGAGGAAAATGAGACTCTGATAGATTATTTGTTTAAGGAGTGAATCCAGAACTCAGGGTCCAACTTTTTTTTTAATTTCAAAGTCCATATTCTTTTTATACTATTATCATTCTTGGTCAAAAATGAAAGAAAGGAGAGGAAGATGAGAAAAGGGAAAGGAAATGAGCTACAATCATTATTTTTATAAATGAACAAATAATTAAAGAAAAAGAAATCAGGTTTTTAGAGAACAAGGGGAATAGGGGGCCAGAGGAAACTGCCTGAGCAAGAATGAATTTGAGAATGCATCCCCAGAAACCTAGAGCAAGGATTTCAGCACCAAGGACAGTACCTGCATCCCAGCATCGTGGGGGTTAATGAGCTTTGTCTTCTGTATCTGTGTTGTGAGCATTTATAAAGGACTTGGTAGGTCTCCTTTGATCCCTAAAGATAATAGACAGTAGAAAAGAGAAGGGGCCTGGCATTTCAACACTGCCAAGGGGAAGGAGGGTAGAGGCAGTTCCTTGGCCTAGATGTGAACAACACCAGCAACCTTTTCCAATCTGACTTTCATTTCCTCTCAGGAAAGGGAGAAACAAGGATACTACAGCAAGGGATCTTAATAGCTTATCTCTTCTGGGTGCTTACTATATACCACCACTATTATCAGTGCTTTATGTTAACCTATTTAATCCTTACAGTGATCCTGTGAAGTAGATACTATTACTGCTGTAGTCTGGACCTGGAATATCCCTGCTATTTATCCTTGGGATTACAGATGAACACTTTTTTCTTGGATCAACCTCAGAAGACTTTGTTTTGGATATGTATTGAAATTTTTGTCCAGAACAAATCATACCTCCTCAGGAAATAAGGGAGTTCAAAAGGATAAGGAAGAAAAGACAACAGAATACCCTATGATCAGGATGCATTCATATCTATACTGCATGGCCTTCTCAAAACTCTACTGATAGTTTCATCAGAAAAGGTCTCATACCATCATCCTACTATCAACTCAAGAGTCTCCATGTCATTCCCCCCAAAAATCATCAAGCTTTCTAAAAAAGCAGAATATCATTTTTCCAGGAAGTAAAGGCCTTGTCTGATACATTATCTCCAAGAGGATTTTACATCTGAAAGCTGTTCCAAGCTATATCCCCACACATAAAATAAGATCAATCAAAATAATTAGGCCAACCTACAAGTAAGGGTAGATCAAGGACAAAGAGAATTCAGATAATAGACAGTATGAATCAGGGCCAGGCCTGAAGACAGGGCATATCACCCCATGTGCCCAACTCAATTTCTCCCCTTTCATTGCAATCCACTTGAAGATGCCATACAACTCTGTGCATGTAATGCTAATATAAGATACTGAACCTCAAGAAATTCACATAGATGATTTTTAAAATAAGATAAATTGTCTAGTAGGGGGTTTGGGGGTAAAGCTGTTGAGCTTTGAAATTCAAAATCCAAAACTCAGATCTTAATCCAAGCTCTTCCACTTACTATTATCATGTGACCTTAAGAAAATTACTTAACCCCAGGGCCTCTACTTTTTCATCTGAGAAATGTTGGTGCTAATAATAATACTGTCTACGTCATAATTCATTGGTTTTATTATATTCATTTAGTCATATAGTTAATAAATATTTATTGAGTATCTGCAACATGCTAGGTTTTGTTGAAAGGTACCATAGTAAACAAGGCAGGAAAAAATAACCTCCTCTTTCATAGAGCTTACAGTTAAAAAGTAAGTAAAATACATGGTAGAATCTGGGAGGCCATCGCGCTGTGTGATCAGCATTTTCCTTCCCTGATTAATTAAGGCTTTGTCGGTCACTTCCCATGATCTGGCCACATCAAAGTGGACCTAGATGGCTGCCCCAATCCCGGAAGTCGCAAAATGTCACAAAATGTGTCTTCATGAGTAGACGTACCTTCCTACAGCCCCAGGGGTCGAGTTACCTTACCTGTCCTTGTAACCCTGCCACCCTTGACCTGTTTTGGATGGAAATTTCTAAAGAATGAGAGTCCCCCCAATAAAAAGTCCACTCCTGAACAGGCTAGCTCTCTCTCGCCAGCCTCTTGTGACATTCCTCCCTCTCCCATTTGGGGGGCTTGAGGCTGAGGGCAGAGGAGCTGTCCCGGGGCTTGAATTAAAGGTAAATTGTGTGTCTGTGTTTTATTTGATACCTTAGGAAATTCACTCGAGCAATCCTTAGTTTGGCTGCCCTCGCTGGATGAGGGCAGCAATTGATACCCATAATGTTGGGCTGCTCGAGGAGAATTTCCAGGTTGATTGAGGAAGCCAATATGGCGTCCATCACTCGTCTCCATTTTTGCCTTCACTTCTGCCTCCTTTGGCGCCAAAAAAACGAGGGGAGGGTCTTTCCCCAGGCTTAGAGTTGCAGGCTCTGGCGTCATCACAGCCAACCATGGACCACCGCCATTATCGGTCCCTTCCAGACAGTACTTTTACAACCAGCCATGATAATTGATTTAACACCTGAAATGGGACCCCGGAAGATTCCTACTGGGATCTGTGGGCCATTACCCCCAGGCACTATAGGCTTAATTTTGGGACGAAATAATTTTAAAGAGGCAATCCCAGTAATACCGGGAGTTATTGATCCGTATTTTAGAGGTGAGCTAACAGTCACTGTAAAATCAGAATATGCCATTTGGCTTTCTACTAAAGACATGCTAGCCCAATTAATACTTTTACCCTGTAGCAGTCCAATTAAAACCTCGATTTCTGAGTCGCCAGAGTGTACTGTGCCCAGTTACTCCTGCACCCCCTACTGGAACTTAAAATTAATCACAAAAAATTTCGAGGAATTATAGATACTGGGGCAGATAAATCTGTTTTATCTCACTGATTTTGGCCCAAAACCTGGCCTTTACATACTGTGTCAACTTAGAAGGCATAAGGCAGATTTCTTAGCTTGCCCAGAGCACCCAGTATCTTTGCTGGGAGGCCTGAGATGGAAATACTGGAATTTTTAAGCCTTATGTTTTAGACACATTAGCAGTAAATTTATGGGGAAGAGATATCCTAAGCAGCTTAGGATTATTATTAGTAACTCCAAATTCCATCAGGTCATTTGAGGAATTTAATCAAGGGTTTACTCCTAGGGATAGTGAGAGAAATTTACAGGATAAATACCTACTTATGACCCAGTATCCTTGACAGAGATTAATTAATGCACCAAATAAAAATTTGGGGGGCTCTGACTTTTTCCCCAGCCCAAAAGGCAGCAGAAAAGATCACTTGGCTCAGGGAAGAGCCAATTTGGGTTAGTCAGTGGCCTCTAACAGGGGAAAAACTTAAAATAGCTCGTATGTTAGTTGAAGAACAACTCCAAGCTGGTCACACAGTGCAACAACCTCCCACAGTAGAAGTATAAAGAAAAAAATCAAGCTGAGAAGCAGAATAGAATATATAAAGGGTACAGTTTTAAACATGGTAGTCTAGGAAGGATCCCTGAGAAGGTAACATTTGACCAAAGACTTGAATAAAGTAATGATATATGGTGGGTTGGACCCCAAGAGCAGTCTTTCCTCATGCAGGTAATAAAGGAGTCTTTCATATATAATAACTTTTAAATAATAATGAAATAGACCAAAATCAGTCTGCTCTTAATTATCACCATATATCTCTAACAATATCAGAGATAAAACACTCCTACTGAACAAAAATGAAAAAAAAATCTTTAACTAGCCTAAATTCCAATTTGCTATGATTTCTACTGAATTTTAATGTTACTTATGTGAGCTTCCAGTTAGCACACTTTTTTGCATGTTTTGAGAACCAGAGAGGATAGGCCTAAGCAGAGAAAGAAGGCCATATGTTTGCAGAGTCTCTCCCAAATGGTTAGCAAAATACTGATCAGCACATAAGTGTGAGAAAACTCCCTGAGGATGGGAAAAGAACAATCCAAATGATGAGAAAAAACAATGAATGTCCAGAGTCAAACAGGGCTGAGAACAAGGTATGTTCCCACTAGATAGACGAGAAAAATAATTCCTGGGTAAAACACCCAAAAAAGGGTTGCCCCAATAATGGGAAATAATTGACCTTGCACTATTCCCAACCCACCAAACAAATCACAAAATCAAGACCCAAAAAGAATCAAAGTTTCCAAATAACTTAAGGGCATTTCAGGATAAAGTTGAATATCTAAAGGAATACAAAAATGTTAGCATGCCACAAAGTAATATTAACAATGTTTGCTTATTCAAGATTATCAGACATACAAAGAGGCAGGAAAGCATCAGATATGATAACAAAATTGGTCAATTGAATCCCATGCAGGACTGATGCAAATGTTAAAACCGGCAGAGAAGTTAACATAGTTGTCACAACTGTATTTCATATGTTCATAAAGTTAGGTATAAACATGAGACCAAACTAAACATTTATAAAAGTTAACCTCAGATTAGATATTGCAGAAGAAAAAATTAGTGAACTTGAATTCATAGCAAGAGAAATGATTTTTTAAAAAACACAAAGGACTAAAGCTGGCACTCAGAAGAAACTATTTTATCAGAGCATAGCCTACCTGGGTGAAGGGAAATAAACTTCAATCCACTCCAGCTATCCTGTGCCACCTAAGGAGGGAAAAAAATAATAAGAGGCATCAGGGAAGTTCACAGTTCAGAGCACAAGCTCACCAAAAGACTGAGAGCTAATTATAAAACTATAGAATGTTTCTTCTGTCTATGTACCCTACCATGACATTATTAAAGGCCTGCAATTCCTTTTACTGGGTATATCACATCCTCCTTTGACAAAAAATTCCAAGGCATACTAAATGGCAAAAATATGGCTTAAAAAGCAAATAATACAGTTTTAAATAACTGACCAAGCATCAGAACCAGAGTTATACATAGCACAAATGTTGGAATTATCACACCAGGAATCTAAGAAGACTGTGATTAATATGAGCAAGGCTTTAGTATAAAAAGTAGATAACATGCAAGAACAGATGGATAATATAAACAGAGAGATGGAAATTCTAAGAAAGATTTGAAAACATATGCTAGAGATCAAAAACATAGTGAGAAAACATAGTGAGATGTCTTTGAAGGGCACATTAGTAGACTGGATTGCGTTGAGGAAAGAATTTCTGAGATTGAGGTTGTCAATGTGATAGCTAAAATTTTATAAACTAACTACATCAAGTGTTAGTGAGAATATGAATGATCTGTAATTCTCATACACTGATGGTAAGAACATAAAAAAATATAACGACTTCAAAAAATAGTTTGACCTACATTTTCTCTTTTGTCTCTCCTGGTTAATGTCTATGACTTTACAGTTGTTTCTGTTTATTCCATTTGTTTCCATTTGCATTTTAAGTGCTCAATAAATAGTTGTGGAATGAACTATTTCATTCCACATCTCAAAGAAGAATAGCACATCTCAAAAAAACACAATTTGCTTCTGTCGCTATAGTGGAGTGGAAGACTCTAGGAGGTCAGAAGAGGGAGCAATCATCCCTCATGGATGAGGAAGCAGGGTTCTTACACTTCACCTTACTATGATGTGTGTGTGTATGGAAATATCACAAAGCCATTAATTTATATAATTGATATGAGTTAATAATAATAATTTTAGGGGCTGGGGTTGTAGCTCAGCAGCAGAGCGCTTGCCTAGCATGTGTGTGTGAGTTACTGGGTTCAATTCTCAGCATCATATAAAAACAAATAAAATAAAGGTCCATTGAGGGCTGGGTTGTAGCTCAGTGGTAGAATGCTTGCCTATCATCCATGAGGCACTGGGTTCAATCCTCAGCACCACATAAATAAATACAAAATAAAGATATTGTGTCCTCCTAAAACTAAAAAATAAATATTTTTTAAAAAAAAAGGTCCACAGGCTGGGGATATAACTCAGTCGGTAGAGTGCTTGCCTCACATGCACAAGGCCCAGGGTTCAATTCCCAGCACCATAAAAAAAAGAAAGATCCATTGACAACTAAAAAAAAAATTAATATTATTGTTGTTGTTTTAGAAACAAAAATAACATGGGCATAATAAAAAATAAATAAACTTTACTTTGAAGGGGGAAAGGATTTTAATGGGCAATGAGAAGTAGAAAAAGCCACCCCAAGAAAAAAAAAAAAAAAACAGCTTGGATAGAGACACAGAGGCTGACAACTGCAGAAAGGCTTAGGGAACAGAGCCCACAACCAACCAGAGACTCAGCACCTGCCCCTTCCCTGCCCAGCCCATATGTTGTTTTCTTTTAACATTTTTTCTTTGGATCTGTTTTGTTTTGATTGATCAGGGAAAGAAACTGCCTCAATCTACATATCACTTTTTAGAGAATAGAAAGATACTTTCTGTTTCCCCTCCTCACAAAGGCAAGATGGGCACCATTACTTAATGAACAGCAGTAAAAGCCATGATCAGAACAGCCTGACTCAGGCAAACCTATAGCATGATGTTCCTGGAAATAAGTAGGAAACCTACTAAATTCTTGCTTGATCTATATAAGCAGAAAAGTTCTAGGTCAAGTAAACAAGTCTGATCAGAATCAAAAGCACAGAGTCACAGTCCCTCATTCAATTTCCAGACTTGAGCCAGTTTACAAACCCAGAACCCCTTGAATGAAGGGGAAACTAGTTCCCTTGAGGACAGACCCTGCTATGGTACACTACAAAAATCTATACTGCTAACCTTTCTCCCAACCCTCCTCCAAATCCAAAGTGATCTATGGTCTTTTACCAGGAAAACTGTGCACTGGGAAAAAAAATAATAATCAGACTTTCAGAGGATGACTAGACACTGGATCTGAACAGATACTAATTCTAGGAGACCCAAACTGTCACTAGGGCCAGCAAGTCAGAGCCAGGGCTTATGGGAGTCAGGTGATGAACAGTTTTAGCTCAAGTTTACCTCACAGCACATCCCGTGTTGTTATTCTGCAGTTTTTCCCTAGGTTTAGAACTCATGTCTGGAAAGCTAGGCTCAGCAAAGATGGAATGGCCTCTTGAAGACTCTGGCACAAATTATAATGCACCAATTAGAAATATATGTAGGGCTGGGGTTGTGGCTCAGTGGCAAAGCACTTACTTGCCTTGCACTGGTTTCAATCCTCAGCACCACGTAAAAATAAACAAATAAAATAAAGTCATAAAAACATATATATATATATATATATATATATATATATATATATATATATATATATTAAAGACTTTTTTAAAAAGAATAAAGGGCTTGCTGGTGGGACTGCAAATTGGTGCGGCCAATTTGGAAAGCAGTATGGAGATTCCTTGGAAAGCTGGGAATGGAACCACCATTCGACTCAGCTATTCTCCTTCTCGGACTATTCCCAAAAAACCTAAAAAGAGCATATTACAGGGATACAGCTACATCAATGTTCATAGCAGCACAATTCACAATAGCTAGAATGTGGAACCAACCTAGATGCCCTTCAATAGATGAATGGATTAAAAAATGTGGCATTTATACACAATGGAATATTACTCAGCACTAAAAAATAACAAAATCATGGCATTTGCATGGAAATGGATGGCATTAGAGCAGATTATGCTAAGTGAAGTGTGAGCTGCCCAGAAGATGAAGGTCCAGGGAATGGATGGCTTCCATGGTACAACCTGGCTGTCTGTGAATATGAACTCTTCTTCTGTCCTTTCTTTTTTTTTTTTTTTCTTCTGTCCTTTCTATCTCTGCTCAAAAAGAGCCTTTCCCCAACCCAGCATCCTCCCCTCTTTAACTTCATGATTTCCTGTCCTTTGAGGCTCTCAGGTAACTCAGAACTACTTCCCTTCTCCTGACTACTCTTCCTGTCCCTGTCCACTCCACCCTGTAATTCCTTACTGGCTTTCCTTCTCTCACACTCCACTAGGGGTTGGTTATCATATCTATAACAGATCTTCTTCTTCTTCTTCTTCTTCTTCTTCTTCTTCTTCTTCTTCTTC